AAATAATTTAATTCGTGACTTGCTTTTAGAGACTGGCCTGCCGATGGCACATTGAAGTCGTGTGTTGATTGGCTGGTTGATCAAAGCGGCAGACGAGAAACTCTTTTCCGACAGGAGTGCATGAGACTTGCACACTCACTAACCACTTCCATAGCTGGTTTGAAAGTTTTTTCTATCCACTTCATTCACATTGTGTGCTATTGATACGGTGCCTACTGCTTCAATTAGATTAAAATAATTTGTTCTTTAAGAATGTATGGATGGTTAGATCAAACTTTGTTATATCACTCATGTTTGTGAATGTTTGTGTTTGTATTTTTGCAGGCATGAGCAAGGCACAAGATTATTTTGATTTCAAATTAAAAGAAAATGATTTGAAGCGACTTGTTGAAAGGTCGTACACATTTTTTAATCAAGATATTCTTAATCAATCAATTAATTAATTAAATATTTAATTTATTTACGCTTTTTTGTTGGAGATGTTGATGCTCGTTGGACACTCTATGCTACTTTCCTACGCATGTAATTAATTTTCATCACAATTAAATGCTTCCTTTTGTTTCTTCTTAATTTTAATATATCCACTTATGTTTTTTGTTTTATTTGAATGTGATTTGAACTCTTTGCGCAGTTTTGAAAAAACCAGACGTATGAACGATGAAATCTTTACAACTGTTGGCTCGCTTGAATGTGTTTTAGCATCGTTAGATTGTTACACTTGGCTGTTTGGGCAACACCTCATCCATTCTATTTCTATTCTCCAAGGTTAAATCACTCATGTTTTGATTACTTATTCAACAGTTTAAAATTTTTCGTTACATTAATTTGTTTTGCTGGCTATAAATTTTCCAATTTTTTTTATTCAAATGAATGGTAATCTACTACTATCAGTTTACCATTCACATCAGGTTAAGTAATTTATATTCAAATTTTTGAGCCTCTGGTAAATGCTTTTAACTTTTCAACCACACGATAATTTATACTATTTCAACATTATTTTCAGAATCAAGTCGATCAAATCTTATGAAAATTCTAGAGGTGTTCTATAAAAAATTTTCAAGCCACATAAAAAGCAAGATACCAGCTAGCCAGACAGTAGTGAGAAGCAGTCAAGTCGATGATCAAAATGAAGGAGTACTGAACAGGTTCCATTAATTTATATCATTTCATTTTTTTCCAAATTTACATATTAATCTGGAGCCTTTCGTGAATTTTAATAGGTAGAATGTGATAGGGTTGTTTGCAATAATGATTACAATGATTAAGATAACATGAGGATGGTAACAACGATGATGATGTTTATGTAAGTTCATTGTTGATTATATTGTTGATTATATGGTTAGGGTATTATGCAAGCACTACCTACAGATAAGGTCTCAGTCAAATTACTGAAATGTTTAACTATTTATTAGTTTGTAATTCAGATTTTTCAGTGAAGTGTCATGTCAGCACATTGACTCATTGCAGTAATTTTTATTCTCAACCAGGCTGAGATGCACCATACTTATAAGAACCATGAATCTTTTTACGATTCTCTTCAACAATTCGCACATAGACTCTATGCATGTTAGTTTAGTTGGCAAACTTTTTTTCCAACTTTTTTGAAGTTATTTGTTATTTTTAAAAACCTTGCTGTATTGTTATGTATAAAATTTTAATATATTTATAATTTATACTATCGTTTCAATGCATCGTTGTACTGAACTACATGACGTCACATTGCAACTGCTGAAATGATTTAAATATGATTAACGTGTGGATGTGGATTCCAGCTGATGACATCAGAAATGATGGAAATCATAATCACAACTTGCTTCAGTCCTACTCGCGTTCATTTCAACATGGCTGATGTTGTAGTTGTTGACAATCTGCCGAATGAATTGCTGCTATTCTTCAAATCTCTCAACAAAATGCCAAAGCTTAAGGAAACTTTCATTCATGAAATTAACTCTGAAAAGTTAGTTTAATATCGCATTCCTACTAAAAATAACATGAATATTTGCAGCCAGATTTTTTTTATTAAATTGATCTAATTTTGGAGAAAATTGCGCTAAGGTTTGCCGAGATTCATGGAAGTGTAAAGTTGCTATCGGATGCTTCCTCACTGCTATCGTCCTCGTCATCCTCTCTGGCCCACTGTCTCAATGGACTGAAAATTATGCAACAGTGCAACATGTTGGAAAAGTTGGAAATGTTCAGCAACAATGTTGACTACTTTCAGATCGTCTATCAGGTTTGAGTTGCTGTCTCAGTTACAATTCAACATCAATTTGCTATCGTAACATTAATGTCGAAAACCTTTTGCCGCTTTCAAATACAGCTGTTCAATGGCTTTGTGAAAACTTCATCTGATTATCATTAAATAAATTTCTAGTTTATTTTTTTTTTTTATAAAATAATGACTATGTATCATTTCACTATTTAAACCATGAATTGGTAGAACATCAACATGTAACATCTTCGATCTGCACGACACATAGGTTGTGTTCAGCCAGAACGAATCCTGTATTATTCTGAGAAATGTTCCAGACCGTGTTTTGTTGGTTTGCAAGGATTTGTTAGACCTAACCTTCAATATGGATTACAAAGTTAATATGAACTTGCTGTTATCATTCATCAGTCTTGCTTCTCTCATAACTTTTTTTTATAATGTAACGAAGAAATATAAATATTTATAAAGTTTTTTTTCTCATTTGCATCAGGTGCAAGAACTTTGTTCACTGCTCACAAATCCAGCACAAGTAAAACTAACCAAGCGAGTAGATTCATCTGACACTCTGGGCAGCCTGTTTTTGAAATTATTTGCGACCGAATTGTTGGTGCACATGATAAAACATTCTGATGCATTCATGAACGTTCTCATCTCGTCCGACCACTCAGCTCAAATGATGGCCTTCATCATGAAACTTTGTGCAGAGATGTTGGAAGTGTTGAACAAGGATTGTAACCTCAAGAAATTGTTAGCTATTTACATTAGTTTTTTATTCGGTCTTTGTAAGTTTGTGAATTATATATCAAAATTGTTTTCTGTTGAAGTTTTGTTAACGTACTTTGAAAAAATTATTCCCCTTGCTTTAGATATTCAACGAGTGTCGTCAATTCAATGCTGGACAATTGGAACAAATTGGATTTGAAAAGGACCTCAGATCTCAAAACTCAATATTGCAATCTGTTTATTAAACTTTTATTAAGCGATAAGGACTTGTGTGCAATTAAAAAGCATAAGTTTATTCAAAGGATTGTGGAAGATTTCTGCTCTCTTGCAACTTCCAAACTTGAAACATTGTTTGAAAAGGTATGGCTTGAAAAATATTGATTCTGGGTTTTTGAGCTATTTATTTTTTATAAACTGCCAATTTTTGACGTTGAAATTGTTGTAGGTGCAAGTACTAGATATGTTGCTGGAAATGTTACATCTGCAAGACGATCAGCTAATTATGAACAAACTCAAGTATGGAGAACAGTACATTCATTATTTTTTGAAAGTTAACATATTTATTCGTAATTTGCTTGGTTACTTCAATATGCAACAATATATACATCAATACCTATACTTTCAACTTTGTTTGACAAAATTTAAATTGTCTATTTTTAAAAACCGACAGTTCTATATAGCTTTTTTACGTATAACCTATATGCTGCTCTATGATAGTGCCTGTACCAAATTATGAAAAATTCCGAAAATTAAAAAAAAATATTTTTGGTTTTATTTTTTCATCACGATCATATCATCACATGTTACCATGTTACACTCACTAGATGTTCATTGAAAATATTTATATCCAACAACTTGGCTGCATGTTCTCGCGATTATGAAGAAGGTTCTTCCAAATTTAAAGAACAGGTCACCATCGTCAGAAAGGTAGACCAGATAAGTAAAAAATTGAGAAATTGATAGTTTTAATTTAAGAAATATTAGATATTAACCAGTTAATTTTGAAAATATCAGATGAATAATTACTTCAATGTTAATTTAAACAGTTGGTGTCCTTGTTAGCTACCAGTCAATCCAGCGGTAACGTCAATAAAATGCTGATTTTCGAAAATTTGGTTCTGCTGTTGTGTCGAGAATCTGATCACGTGTTGGAAGAGGAATTGAAAGAAGCGCTTTTAAATTATTTTCAATTGTATGTTAATTAATCAAGCTTTTTAATTAATTAAAATTTTCATAATATATTTAAGATTGGTCATTCGTCCTTTAATTTCACTCTTTATCCATGACACACCACCAACTGGTGTGCATTCCACATGTTCCACTTGCTTGAGATTCAGATTTCAATTCAGATTCTAAAATTTGCCGCTGCTTCTTCCAGTTTTCGTCTTCGCAGTTCAACATATTCCCAGCTAGTACATTTTGTTCTCACAACTTTGTTAATGAGGTCATTTCTCGTAAATCACCCTGCTAATTCTCTTAATCCTGCATTTTGATTTTGCTATGTTTTTGTATGTTTATACAGTGACTGGCTGAGATTTTCCGACATCCTACATACAATTCCCTATATATTTTTATTTACTATTTTAGTATTAGTATTTTTATTTACTAGTTTACGCGGATGATTATTTTTTCAATTTCTTCCTCGTACTTCCATTGTAGTCAATCATTGCTCTGTCGAATAATCCATTGTTTTTTTTACTATATTATTTATTTTATTTGCATTTTTTAATATTTTCGTAATACTGTTTGTATAAAATATATTTGTGAAAAAATTATATAAACCGTAACTTTCCAAGTGTTATTTTGTTTACCGATATTTTTGTTGGTGCTGAACTACTGTTAATACTAATTGAAACGTTTGACTTCTTTTTAAATATTTTAATGTTACACTTTTTTAATAATTCAATTAGCTATTCCTGAAACTTTTTATTTGATTTATAAAATATTTATCAGCAATTTATAAGATCATGTGTTCTTTCATTCTCATTTCGTATATATGCGGCGTATTTTGAAATTAAACTCTAGTTTTAGCTTGGAACATTTTTTACTCAGATTACCTTCTAGCATGAAGAAGGAAATAATGGAAAAACTGGATGGCATGTACAAGAACGAAGAACAGTACAAAACACAGCACAGAAAGTCCATCTTCTACAAGATTTTCTATCCCACATTAGAAAGCGCCACTGAGGAAGCATTGTTGGAAGATTACTTTATTGCTCATGTCCTGGACATTATGAGTACTTTGAACAAGAAAATCCCATATGTTAGTTTAATTCAATTTGCGTATGCGAGATAATAACAGTTTCAGCTCAACGAATGGTTAACGATTGGTGATAAGTTATCTTGGCATGTTGATAAAAAGTATGTCATGTTTTATTTGAATTTTATGATCAGCATTTGGACGTGAAGTTGGATTCTCACTTCCTGAACAAGATCTGCTGCTTGGATCTCATAACATTATTTTACAGTCGACTGAGTAAGGATTCTCTGCATTCTCTAACTTCCAAAGTCAACAGCGAATATTGCAAACATTTCTGCGTAACTGACATAAAAGGCAAAGAACTGACCACCTCGATAATCAGGTATTCATTCTTTAAGATTATTTTACATGTCGATCTCTACGATAACAATATTTCAACAAGGAGCTGGAGAGAGTGAGAGAGAGAGAGAGAGAGAGAGAGTGTGTTGATAATGCACTTTAATTAGATTTTGAAATATTTATTTCAATTTTTTAGAGCACCAAGTAATAACATTGAGAAGTTTATTTGCTATTTCAAAAATTAATTATTTCGTGAAGTGAAAGGTGTGTGCAATAATTGTAATAAGATTAAATAAGAGAGAAAGAACTGGATACTGGATCAATGACTTTCACAGATTACAAGTTATTCACTTTGTTCAATATATTTTCAGAACTGCTAAAGACTTCAAAAGTGATGATTACCATTCGAAAATTAATTCACATAAAACAACACCATCATCTCCTTTGGATGATTTTGAGATGCAAAGGCTGCTGAATTGTTCATCATTCAACACATTGTCACACGTGCTCATGAGGACTCAAACTGATGTTAAGTTCTACACTGCATTTCTCTTCACTGAAAATCTTGCCAAGGTGATTATTAAAACCATTTTACTTTACTTTACTTCAGAACATTTATTCAATATTTGTTAGCAATAATCTGCTTTAATCTCAAAAGAAATAATTAAGTAGATGTAAATTTGTTTCTAAACGATGGCATTTATTTTTAAAGGGTGAAATAATTTGGGAAAATTTGATTGACACAAAAAGGCTTTACAAGTTCTCCATTGAAATAACAGTCAGTTTTGTTAATTTTTTGAAATTTGAATATTCTAATTATTGAGCTAAACAAAATATTTTATCCCGTATATATTATATTGTTTTATATATAAAATATATATATATATATGTATAGTGTAGCATCTTAGGCATTGTTTAATGGACGCATGGTCAGACGACTATTGACAGAAATTCTTCAGCTTATTTGTACAAAAATGGTTGAGAATTTTTGAAGAGTTCGATAGATAGTTGCTGATGCTTGTTAATAATTATCGGATGTTATTTTTTTCATCATAATCAACTGAAGATGATTTCATTATTGAATTTAATTGTTGGAAATATTTACTACGGAAATATTTTGTATAAATGTAAGAAGTTTTCGTAATGCGTTGATTTTTTTGAGGATGCTGAAGCCAGAAAGATGAAATACAAAACGCTGAGGAAACAAATAAGAATTCATACACAAGGTAAACCTGGAGTCGACGCTGAAGACGAGGAGGAAGATAATGACAACGGTTAGTTTTATTTCTTTTTATTTAAAATGACTAAAAATCCATTTATATAGAGATGGAGTGAAGAATAAAGTGTAACATTTAAAATGTATTCTGATTGTATTTTTGTAATAAACAGTGCAGTACTTGTCAACACTGGACAGTAGTGTGTCCGCTGATCTTACCCAGTTTGATTTCACTAATCCTGTAGACAGTTTATTTCGCATTTATTTTTTAGATTTTTTTTTATTCAACTTTGAATAATTTTCATCATGTTACCGTCATAGTTAGTTCATGAAAAAAATTTCATTTTGCCGTTACTCATTAACAAACAAATTTCTTTCTAATTTCATTTTGGTTGAATTTTTTTTCATTTATTTTTTTATTTATCTATTATAATGGCAAGTATCTTTTTAAACTATCCAGACTCATACTACCAAATTGCTAGATAAGCCCAAACCATCACCAACTAACAAAACCGAGGTAAGTTTTCTACATTGATTACTCTGTTTCGGTTTTTCTTAACTGCATCATGTCGAGTCATTAATTTCGAAAAGGTTAATTCCAAAAAGTAATCATTTTTCTGTTAACAAGAGTGTACCTCATCAATCAACACCGACGTTGGATTTTGATGAAATGAATTGTCACGAATCGATGCAGACTCTGATGACCATCATTCATCATATCAATGAAAACATTGCCCCCTTTCAGGTTTTTCTTGTCTCGTTAAATAATAATTCTATTCAATTGAATACACTACACCAGCATTACAAGCTTTTGTAGAGGAAACCCAAAACCTAGGCGGAGGTCAATGAAGTTTTTTTTTAAAGTTTAAAGACCACAATTGTCTGACTGAATAGGAAACGTAATTTGGTGCCGTTTTAAAACAAAATAGAAGCTCAACCAGTTTGTTCTGGACGGATTGCAGTTTTTGAGGGACGAGTGAAGAGAGTGGTGTAGTAGTGAATTGTAGTAGTCTAAAATTTGTGTACCAAAACTCATTAAATAGAGGAAATTTGCATGTTGTTGTTTTCAGAGCAGTCCAACATCAGCAGCAGCACCAACCTGGCTGAGCTGCATAATCGAAAAAATTTCCTCACCATCCACTCGATGGAATGTCGTCATCTTCCTGGTTAAAGTCATCGTCAACTGTCAGCAGGTGTATGTTGTCATTTGTCTGAAACATCTTTCACTCGTTTCTATATAATACTTTCACTTCGTAATCTTGGTTCAAAACAAACTACACGACTTATTTTCAATTTGATGTTGAAAATTTTATGGTATTATATTTCAATGATATTTGGGCATTCACAGATATTGAAATACTTTGCTTCATTCCTGATTGGACCCCTGTTGAAAGTGGCGCAAGATTGCAGGTTGTACGAGCATGGATCCAATACAATCTCAAATGATGTTGTTGTCATGCTACTGCTCTGGTCTGATGCTGCTAAGCCTATGGTTTGTTTTGATTTGAAAGTTAATGCTTATGTTTAGTTTGTTTTCATTTTTTATTTTACATTCTAGCATCATAAATTTTGTTTGTTTTGTTGTTATTTTTTCATAATCATTTTATTGTGCCACCAAATCTGGTATAAATTTGTTAAGAAAAATCCTATTCATAATCAGCAAAAAATTTCAAAACTTGCAAAGCTGTCGAGACATTGCAAACAATATTTATCACGAAGACCATGTTGACTCGATTAAAATATTACCGAAGGAACGTGACAGAGACATGCTGTCTCGGTTGTTGGAGGCTCTGGTGCGAAACTCTGATGACAGCAACCGATCAGTCATGCGCAACAACGTCGAAATCATCAAAGTTTTCTTGGAAAGCTGGAAAGATATTGTTGATGTTCCTACAAAGTATGTAATAAGTTTCCAATGAACTTCACTTTAAAAAATAATTGAATCCATGTTGATCTGAATATTTTTGGTTCTTGTTAAATATTAATTTGGTTATAGTTTCGTAGCGCTTGCATTTATTGTTTCTTTAGGCATGACATCAAATTTTACATTTTTTTTAATTTTATAACTTTCTTGGTTAAATTTATTTGAATAAAAATTACATCATTTTTACTTAAAATTACAAAATGTTCAGAATTCTTCTGGAAAAGATTTCTGAACGAAATATTTCTGGGAAGCAAAATATATATGGCTTGCAGATGGTTGGAGCTGTTTTGGCAAAGCAAATTTTGCCATATGAAATCAGCTGTGACCTTGAAACCAAACATAAGTAGATTTTAGTACACTTAATATAATTTCTACGTTATATGTGATATCGCTGAACGTTTTCCAAATGTATTTGCAAGGTTTTTCAAAAGTTTGTCTGACTGTATGCTATGTGAATCGAAATCAGTGTACTGCGTGGCAGCGGAAGTTCTTGGCATGGGGTTAAACTTGTTGTCGTTGAAAGATGCAGATGTTTTGAAAGATGCGATGGTTCTTGTTAGCAAATCAATGAGCAATTTCAAGGATGACAAGTTCATAACATGCCTCCACAAGATGCAACTCAATTACCCAGCTATATGTGAAAGGTAGGTTTGCAAAGTATTTTGTGACGTCAATTTGTTTCTAACGATTGCTAGATTCTGCTGAACAATACTTTTCATTTTTTTTCTTTTTAGATACAAGTCGAAAGTTTTGTTCATGATTCCAAATGTTTATGGGATCTATCAAATCTACTGCCTCGAGATCCTCAAACATTACTGTGACAGAAGTTTATTCGTTGATCTTAAAGTTAAAGGATTATTTCAGTTGATAACCAATCCGTGAGTTTCGTTGTCCTATTTAATGGTGATTATGTTATCACGTTGACATGAAAATGTGCAGTTTGATTCAGTTCTGATGGAAGTTTAAATGAATTTTTTATCCAGAAATTTCCAAACTCAGCTAGCCAGCTTAAAATTTGTACACGCACTGCTGACACACCTGACGGTTGACGACCTAACTCTCCTGATCCCCCACCTGTTTTCAGTTGGAAACCACACAAGTGTAGAGTGCAGAGTGGCTCTCAACGAAATATTCATGTGGATATATGATCAGTACTACGAGTACGTATGGCTTATTTATTTTTTATTTAGAAATTTTCTTCAACCTCACGATTCTGAATTCGTTGGTAAGCAGTTAATTCTTTAGTATCACACGACCTCTGTTATGTCCTAATAAACATATTTATTTATTTAATAATTACAATCATATATATATTAACTATTACATATGGTGACAAGAATGTGACATGTGTACTATTATAATCATGCATGCATCATTTCGTGAGTACCAGTTGGTTGACTGAGTGGTTTTATAATTCATTGACAACATTTTACATTGTTTAAAGATGTTAATGTAAAAATTAATTGAAAACTGAAGCAAGAAGCTTGAAGACAAGTTTGCCCTGGAAATAGACAATGTGAAAAAAAGTTTGATAGGTTCACTCCAGGATGAAGATGATGTAGTCCGGTTAGTAATTCTGAACGTTTATGTAATTTCATTTATCATTAAATAATCTTTTCTACTTTAACGTCGTCTGTCTGTATATACACGTCAATTTTTTTTTTAATTTTTATCGATATGGCACAAAAATAAAAGTAAATAACTGCTGTGTGCTATGTAAGTGAGCAGAAGGCTTGAACAGCTCATTGAATTCCCCTGCAGAACACTGGCGTATAACTACTGGAGACGGGAAAGCCACCTGCCGAAATCTGCTGACGTCCGCCTAAAGAGGATCATCTCACACATGTACCAGAGCACTTCCGAAGCATCCTTCCTCACTTACGCCTGTGATTTCCTGATGGAGTTAACTTCCTGGAGTTCGGAATTCAACAAGGAACTGTTTGACATGCCGCTATCAGAATGCATCTTCCAAGTATGCTCTCAGACATTTATGGTTCCACGTGTTTTCAATTGAAAATGCTACTAGTTTTTTATCGCACTAAATTTTATTGTCCTAGTCTTTGAAACATTTGACATTTTTGGTTTCAATAGCGTGACTCTTCAGTTCTCAGTTTGGTACCAATTGCACAGAAGTGACAGTAGGATTTAAACCTGCAACTCTCCTGGGAATGTCAACTGTCTAGGTGTTACACTAATTATGTTCAAGAGAGCAGACGACAATCAATGGAATTTATTAATTTGAACGAAATATTTGTGAAAAAATATGTTCATTTCATAAATAGGTAGATAGATATTGCATGTGTAGAAAAACAACGAACCATACTGTTTAATTTGCTAACTTTTTCATTGTTCGTTTTATTTATAATTTATTAATCTTATTAATAATTAAATAATTAGTTGATCATTTTTTTTCAATTATTTCATTTATTTTCAGTTTCTCAACGGACGTGATAATACCATCTTATTAACGATGCAGGACGTTCAAATCCATTCAGACTGGAGAGAGAGGCACTCCATGATGACCCCTCTGTTTGTTGAGACGCAGATGTCCATATCCACTCCATCCCTTTCGTCATCTTCCTCTTCACTGCCAGTTGGTCAAGTGAGGATAACCCAAGCTCCATCAGCGTTCGATTCCATCCAATCACAATCCAATAATCGTTAGTTACTTTTATTTTATTGTCGGTTCATTTATGTTTTAGTCAAATTTAAATTTTCCGGTATCTATATTGAAAAACGCTCTATGGTTTTGTAAGTATTCTTTACCATGATTCAATAAATCATTTGAGTTTGTGTTAACTTATAATATGGATAAAATAATATCATGAAACTGTGTAAATTAAAAATTCTTAAAAATTTCAGTAGCAGCTTTCCCAGTTGAATTCAAAATTAATTTCTTTGTAACTTTTTTATGCTCTTTAGTTAACTTGAAGATTATTTTTTGCATGTCCTCAGAGATGCATCAAACATTTAATAAACTTTTGTAATGTTGATTTTTAACGCATTCGTTTAAAAAAAAAAATAGACGATCCTTTCCTGGTCATTCACGTAATCACGTCCTTCTATCTTTTAGTCTTTTGTTGTTTCTCAACGTTCATTTTTCTTGCAAGTTATCGTAAAAAAAATTTTTTTGTGATTCAACTTATTTGTATTTTAATTTATTTCCACTACAATCTCGAATTAATCGCAATTAAAATTGACTGCCACGTTTTAATTGACTGTTGTAAAAAATGTGTGCATTGTAACTGAAAATAACTGAGAAAGTAACCACTATTCAATCAAAGAGAAATCTTTAATGGTTCATCCTAACCCAAAATTATTATCATTTGAATGACTGAACAATCCTTTTAATAAGCAAATTTAAATGAGTAAATTCTGAATGCAGAAAGAATTTCCTGCGTTTTTTGAAATGTTCACAATTTTTATTTTGATTGTGAGAATTCGAAATATTCTACAAATGATTTGGTAGTGAAAAAATCTTGCTGGCAGAAATTGTTTAGTTGGGCATAGAAGCGCTGTTATTAATTTGTTTAAAAATAATTAATTATATGTTGTGATTTTTTTTATTTGGAAAAAAGAATCGCATACTATGAAGTTTCTTTCTTTTCGACATGAAGCCACTTTTGACTGGTTGACTCAGGAGAGCATTGACGTGTCAGCGCTAACCGCAACAGCACGTTCGTCATCATCACTTCTCTTCAGTCGAACCAGCCATCAAGTTAGGTTGCAATCAAGTGCCGAACCCGATCGAGGTTCTTAAATTTACTTCCATACTTCCAGTATTTTATGTTGCCAAAAAAAATAATTTTTAAAGTGTGTATTCTCTGAAATGTTGGTAAGAAGACTGATTGTTGATGTATTTATTAAATGCAGAAGTGTTTGATGACGTGAAGAAGTTGAGGAGAAGGTTTCAGAAATACAGCGACCAAGAAGAGAATCTTTATTTCATCAAAAAGGCAACTAAAATGGGTAAACAAAAAGAGGTACGGCTTGTTTTATTTGTTCAAATTTCTCAATAGTTCCTAGTTATTCTAATTATAACTGTGAGTTAAGCGCGCCTTTCAGTTTTTTTTAGAATATTTTCTGTTCCATACTTGAAACACTGTTAATTAAAATAAAATTGTTCAGGATGAAAATCTGATTAGAAAGCAGAGTAGAGAGAATGACGTGAGGATGGTGAGAAACTACAGAATGGGTGAGTTGCCGGACATTCAAATCAAACACAGGCACCTCATAGCTCCTTTGCAGGCTCTTGCTCAGGTTTTTTTTCATAATTTATTTTTGTTAAAATGTATTTGCACAACTTTTTTTCTGTTTATATTTTGTTTTGAATAATGTTGGCAAATCTTCAAATTTATTTTTGTACTTATGAGAAAGTGATGTTGATGAAAAATTTTTTAATGGTTCTTCACATTTTTATCCAAACACGAATTATATTATTAAATGTTTCGATTTTCAAAGATTTGGTTTTAACAATTTTTAAATGCAAAGAGGGACGGCCAGACGAGTCGCTTGTTGTTCACTTCGTTGTTCAAGGGCATCGTGACGGAGCAGATGATGAAGTGCAGAGACGATGACGATCTGATGATGATTCATGATGATCAGGTTGATAAAGAAGATCAGGATATGACTGCATGGTTCACTACTTTCAATGAATCCTTCAATAAATGTCTTCAAGAGTCAGCATGTCTCGATCCACAATTCATCTCAACCGCACTTGTTTGTACATTTCTATGTTTTTATAATTAAGACTTCTTCGGTTTCATTTTTGAATAAAAACTGAATTGATTTTTTGTAGTTGATGTCAGTTTTTTAGTTATCTGTTAGTTATGTATTTATGTATGCTAGCTATTTGTTAGTTATGTATTTAATTTGTTACACCTTGGACACTCGTGATAGGAACTTTGCTTCGAATACGTCGATCATATTTCCATAGCTCCTCAACTGATAACAAAGGTCGCACTCAGCGCGAATGTCCAACCTCTCGGTTTTTGTTTTATTTTTTCTACGTGAATTTTATAAAGCATGTTGTTTTTCCTGACTCTTACAACATTTTCGTAATAAAAAAGAATTTTTTGGTTTTCACAAATAGGATAGTTTTTAATTTAATACTTCAATCTACATGAAAAAATTTTTTAAATGAATTTCTGAACTATAGGTTTGTGACACTTTTCTAATATTTTATCGTGACAGGCATATTGCTACTGGAAAAGATAATTGTAACTCTCCGAAGAAATTTGAAGAGTGATCAAGTGCCAACATGTCCGCCTCGCAAGATAAGAAAGAAGATGGAAGCAACAGGAGAGATCAGTCTGATTGATGAGTGCTGGATTGAACTTGCAAAGTTCGTTTGCGAGAAAGTTATTTCAGTGAAGATAATTTCTCGTTACTTTTCGTTAATGTACTGGTTGATAACTGAATTCATAGTGCTGAACATCACGTTATTTTATTTCACCAGATAAAATCCTATTTTACACCTTGCTTTTTTTTTAGTTGGATGAAATGATTACTCTATTATATTTACAGTAAAACCTGCTTTAATATAATATTTTATCTTATAATGTTTTAGCTGACAGAATGTTCATGGCTTAATTCAATTTATTTGCACGGTTTCAATCGATTTAGGTTTATGGGTTCTTTTTTCATTTAGGTTGTACAAGTCGATATCTGACTACAACCACGTGCGATGTATATTCGCTTACCACTTGACTCTCCCCTGCAAACCTGCAACATCCGCGGCATCTTCAAACGTTTTGAAGAGCAGTGACGTCACCAAGCTGGCTACAGAGGCTGAGATGTCGCGTGACTATGTCACAGCATTCACGTATTACAATCAGGTTTTTGAACTGGTGCTGCTCTATAATGTTATGATACAAATTATTTTAATGTGCCGTATGCATTCAAAGGATGTTTCGCTTAACATATATGTCAGCGGTTCATCACTATGTATTTTGCACCTATTTTTTTATTTAAAAATGCTTTTTCTTATTATGATACAAGTTAATTGAGCTTTACTTTTGTTCTGTTTTTGGAGTTTTTTACTCCAGGGTTATTTGTTTTTTGGGCTTTGGTCTGAATAGTTTTTGTCTAAGAACCGTTTGTAGATATTTTGAAAGTTATTTTTGAGGAGGTTATATTTTTTGCACAGCTAAAACGGGAAAATTTAATGCGCTTAATTATTTTAAACTTGCTTTTACTTGAAAGGGTGTAAACATCTACAATGATGAAGACATTTCCATTGTTGGCGGGAATGCAGGTGCCGTGTTGTCGTTCGTGATGAATTACTGGGACGATTGCAGGCTGCAGGTTCGCCTGTGACGTCATGGAATATGTCTTTGCTTAACTTCAACATTTGTAGAAATTGTTATTTATTTATTTTTGTTCGCAATTGTGGAAATCAGTTGTTTGTACCACTTCTACCAAATCTAGTTATTACAGAAGACATTCTCTGACGCATTGTTTTTTCTAATTTTTGCACTTTGATAAAATGTTTTTCAATAAATATTTTTTGAGTAAAATTTAATTTGATCTTCAGTGCATTGAACGCTTGGGGCAGTGGAAGAACGTTGAGCAGATTTGTCATAACAAAGTCAGAATTGAGACGATATCTGACGACAATCATCATCGGCTGGATGATTTTTGGAAGGATGATGTTAGTTGACATGTGGTTCGGATGAGGATGGTGTAGCTTCTAAGTAAGGTTAATTAATGCAAATAATAGTCATTTACTTTTCTGAATTATTGTTCAAAAGTAATACAATAATAATGGGATAATATCAAATGGATTTTTATTAATTATAGACCTTTTTCTACTTGTCCTACCTGATGAAATCAGAAACGAAATTGTTGTTGGCCAGTGGTGGTGGTGATCCACAGCTCCAGCATTTTTTGTCGTTTATCGACAGAAATCTTAAAATTCGTGAACGCAAGCATATACTTGAGGTTTGTTAATTAGTTCCAATTCTATATTTATTAAATTATTTTATATGTAGTAATTGTTATTTTAGACTTTGTTTTGTTTTGTTGTGTTGAACTACACTGTTCATTGCCTTTGGTTGGTTATTAAACTCCATCAGTAGAAAGTTGCAACACGCGCGTTGGTTGGGTGTCTTTACCATAGAATGTTCATACCTGAGACGGGCTGCGAACAAGCAGTTTCTGTAAAAAAAAGGATTATTCAACATTCAACAAATTATATCATGCTGATTTATATACATAGCAACTTTTTTTCGTCAGGGCAGTGTGATTAAAATTAAAAAAGTGTATGTGCTCGTATTCAGTTTTTTTAAAAACGGATTTTTCCGAGAAATTGATTTGTTTCAATATTTGTACATTTATTGAAGTTTTTCAAATGTAAACTTTGAAACCTACCAACCATCTTAGAACACATTCTACACGGAACTTGCCCTGTTAAGTTTGTGGGAGGACGATCATTTCAAGGCCAGGCATTACGTGGAACTGGCGAGGAATGCCTTTTGCAGGGTAGGACCTTCTTTACGGTTTTCATAATTGTGTATAAAAAGAACAAATACTGAATGAGCGTTATTGTTAGTTGTTTGGTTGTCCTTGAATCACCTTTTTCAGTATCCCATCAATTGTTCACTTACACGCGTTTTTAAAGCTATTTTCACCCATCAAACAACTCCTTACCCACATTAAATTTTTAAACAGCTCATTACATACATTAAATTGTTAGGATAAATTAAAATTTCAATTTTATCAAATACTAGAGAAATCTGGTAAATGTTTTTTTTTGTTATTAAATGAAAATGTTGGCATGACAAAGATGTTGAGATTTTGAAAATTGTCCAAGCTGAGTTATGGATTGTATTTAAAAAAGATTAATGCAGCGCTGACTGACTGATCGTGATTTATCAGAAACTTTTCCAATATATAACCCACTGGGCGGCATTTTTTAACAGGAGTGGAGTCACACGTCAAGAGCCCAACAGAAGAATAAGTTGAGCAGGCTGCAGAAACTTCATGTTGTGAAGGAATTGCAGGGTGTCATCGAAGCTACAAGCAGCAGCGGTCGTTAATTCAATATATACATTAGTAGTCGAATACGTTGCATAATAATAATAATTATTGTCATTTTTATTTTTTATTCATTTTAATGCAACTCTGTCATACGCAGAACTGCATACATGTTATTCTCTACTTGTAATTAAACATTCGTGCCACAAAGGCTGTACACTATCCACTAGCCACACGACGCACATACACATTACGTATGCACGCGCAAGCACCCTATCATACGGGTTTGATAGTCTTTGATTTTCGGACAGGCAGTATTCGAACCATGCCATCGCGTAATAGCAGCACGAGACATGGCACTTTTACTGATTGTGCTAACTCGTTGTTGGTTTGTTATTGTATTTTATATATAATATAAAAAGATTAAGGCCAAAAAAAGAGCGGGATGTTAATTTTCAATTGGAGAGCAGAAGGGCATAATATTTAATAGTAACAAAATTGAATTCAGATTTCCTCTGCAACTTGAATGAGTTCAGACGTTTCACAGATAGATGGATGGAAAGAATGCCAAACAAAAGGAATGATGATTTGTTACATTGGGATGATGTGATTAGTAACAGGTGGCTTATTAGTTGAGAACTAGTTATTTTTCTGCTGCCATTAGAATTTTCTATCGAAATTGAAATTAAATTATTTATTTTGGTTAAATTTAGGAACTTTTATCTCAACTGTTTTCATACGAAAATGAATGAATCCGTGAAGAAGAAGAGTGAAGAAATGATTGAAAGAATGAAAATTGAGATGATGTTGGCTAAGACTGAAGCGGCTATTGAACAGAACAGTCTCCTGGCTGCACTCTCCTTCTTGAAACACACGAGAAAGGTTTCATTTCATTTCGTTTCATTTTATTTCATTTTGTTTTTATACTTTATTGACATCGTGGCTTTAACAAGTGCTACTGTTTGTTTGTTTGTTTGTTTGTTTGTTTGTTTGTTTGTTTGTTTGTTTGTTTGTTTGTTTGTTTGTTTGTTTGTTTGTTTGTTTGTTTGTTTGTTTGTTTGTTTGTTTGTTTGTTTGTTTGTTTGTTTGTTTGTTTGTTTGTTTGTTTGTTTGTTTGTCCGTTTCCTGGCTAATAATCATGACACACTTTATTTATTTTATATACTTGAAAATTTTTTAATTATAATTATTTACTAAACTTTTGTGTCAAGCGGTTTTCAATGATGCTGAACTTTTGAAGATAACAACGTTTAACAAAATAATTTCTCCATTACAAATCGACATTGAAAAGGATTGTTCGAAGATTCCAGATTTGCACTTCAGATGGGTTGCATGTTATGCAGTGACCCACCACAGACGCTGCGAGAAGTCAGCTACGAAGGATGTTGAAACCGTGAAGGCGGTCGTGGGGGCTGTCGATTTGTTGAGTTGGCACACCAAACTATTTTCAGAATTAATTTTTTATTATTTTGATGCTATTTTTTTTAATTGTTTAAATATATTTGCTGTCAGATTATTTAGTTCGTTTACCTCCAATGAATAACATTTTACGTCTGACTTCCGTATTGAACACAATTTTAACACCACAGATAATCTCTCATCAAGTCGCCTCCTTGTGAATGAACGACACAAGCAGCAGCAGCAATATTTGCTAGCCAACTCATTTAATATATTGTGCAATGTCATCCACAATCGCGCCAACAGAAATGACGATGATGAAGATGAGACGATTACGCGGCTCATTGCTAACATTTCTGGAACGGATAGCAAAAGCAACGTTGGGTTTTTTAATGTTTCAACATGATGTTATTATGCCGTTATATTTGCATCTGTTTATGTTTGCAGAGTTTAAAAAATCTCTTGGAGAAATGTTTCAGCAGTTATAAGTCAGCTGTACAAATGGACAGCACAGTGCCCTCCTCACTTGCACCTCCTACAAAGACAGCAGAATCAAAAGCTACCGATCACAGCAGTTACATTCAGAGTCCTCAGAATGTAACTGTCCAACTGTCGAACGTTTGCTTGGCGTTCTTTTTGTTCGTGGACAATTATTTGGATTTGTTGGGGGAAGGTTGGTCTTTTTTATTACTAATTATACATTTGTCTGTTAGTTAATAGTTGGCATGATGGCATGTGGCCAGTGCAAATTGTTTCAAGTACAAAATTGGTTAATTTTTCAATATTTCATTAAAAGCAGAACATGGAATGATATCCGGTATGGAGTCGGTAAGGAAGTTGTTCCCACAGACTGCCATCACATCTCTCCTGCGATCCATGAAGCATGGCAACAGACAGGCACAACTCTATTTTCCCAAACTACTGCAAGTGCTGAGAGAACATTACGACGAATCCTTAGTCGAGACTTTTAAGTCTGAAGTATGTCGATGCCCTGGTATTAAAATATACTTCGATTCGAATGAAATATTTAAAATTAATTTTTTAACACCACATACGCATACAATTAGTTTGCCACCTCATACATTTACTTGTCTGCAGTGCACTACAGTTCCGTGTTGGATGTTTTTGGATTGGATTCCTCAAATGACGGCCATATTGGATAGGAAGGAATCGGCGTGCATCCATTCAGTCGTCATGTCCATTGCTACGGAGTATCCACAGGCACTGGTGTATCCCATGAGAGTGAGCTCCGTTGGATGGGATTTCAAGACCCACTCGATTGCTGGGAAAACTTTTTGCGATAAGTTAGACAAATATTTTCTTTTCTTTTATGCTTGTTGTTGTGAATATCTTGTTATGTAAGATTTTCGAAATGTTTTTACTATATTTTGTTAGTTTTATCATAAACTTTTCAGGATTAATTTCCATCTGTCCAAAAATCCGCTAATTGAGAAGATCATTCTGGAGTCGGAACTCCTCTACTCTCCACACTTATTTTTTAGAGTAATTCTTGATGTTTTTGTTGATTGTTATTGTTAAAAAATTTTGAAAAATTTGTTTTGTGATTTTTACAGCGAATTTTTAGCGTTTACCAGTTTTATTTATGAATGAATTTTATAAAGTTATATAAGTTTGATTTTCTGTTTGTCCAATGAATACCTCCAGTAAGTTAAACGATGTAATAACCTCAGGGACCTTTTGTGGGCATGCCTCCAATTCTACATGCACATTAACGACGAATCAGTCGGAATAATTAATTACTAAATTAAATTAATATCCGCTAATGAATAGTTTATTTTAAATGTATTACTCGTTGAAGGAATGGTGGGAAAAAGCATGCAATGCACTGAGCAAGGAAGTTGTTGATAAGAACAGCATGCTTTCACTTCTGAAGGTTAGTTCATGCTGCTCCAACGTTTGAACCTCTTCATGCGTCATTCATTGACATCACGGTGAAGATTGATCTTATCATTTTTTACCAATCTAGATGTTTAATTCAAGATTTCTTTTAACAACGGGGGGTGATGATTTACCTGGAAGGCATGGTGATGAACAAATGGATGTTGATGGTGAGGATGACGAAGATGACGATGATTATCATGATCCGTCAAATGACCTCATCACTATGACATCTCAACCTGGTTTTCTCTGGTTGAGTGTTGCAAAAACATATCAATCACAACTCAACGAATTTGTTAATTATTTCAAAGTGTTGATTAAGGAGGCGAGCGAGAATAACGCAAGTTTTATTTCCGCTGTTGTTTTAACACTACAAAAATTGTACTTTTTTTCATCCGTGCTACGAAAATATAATTTCACTTCTATTTTTTAATAGTTATTTTTTGATGATAATTTGTAATTTTGCTCGTTGTAAATGTTGTTATTATATTTCGCAAGACATGAGTTTGTCTACTAAATGTTGCTTTTTCTTATGATAACTCAATACAGGCAGGCGCTTGTAAATCTTTTTCAATACAATCTTTTTTAGTATAATATTTCATACAAATGCACGCTACTATCAATATTTACAATGCATGCACAAACACTTTTACAGAAAATAGCTCCACAACAGAAAGAAAAATTTTCTAAGGATGGCAAATCGTTAATTTTGATGATGAAGTCAACAAAGATGCCTCTGGATCTGAAAAGTTACTCACCGTGGCTTGCAAACTTCAAAGCTGACTTGTATGATTTCTCTGTGGAGTTGCCAGGTTAACATTCAACACGTTTTTGATTTGGTCATTTGGAAATAGCTGCAAATTTATAGGATCACATGTTCTTAAAATGTCAATTAATTAATTACGATGGGTTACATTTTTACAATTTAAATTTAAATAAAATTAAAATAAATAAAAGGTCAGTATTCGGGCAAGTGCAAGCCACAGTTGGAACAACATGCACTCATCTCCAGCTTTCACGAAGTGGTCAGTTTGCAACTGTATCCATCTCTTCATCGGATTTTCATTCTCGTATTTTTAGAATTGTTATTGGTATCATTATTCATCTTAGTCTTTATAACTTTTCATTGGTTTTTAATCTCATTTATAAGTTAAGACTTGAGAGTCGTGATAGCAGTATGACGTAACGTGCCATCAGATCAAAGTGCTGCCTTCGTTGAGACTTCCCAAAAGGTTGACAGTGAGGAGCACGGACGACAAGAAGCATCATTTTCTCGTTAAGCATGGCGAGGACCTGAGACAAGATGATCGCATAGAGAGCATTTTTCACCTTATGAACGAATGCATGAGCACGGAATATGGAGCCAAGAATAATATGGAAGGCACCGACTTTCTGAAAACCTACAAGGTTACTTCTTATTCCTTTAGTTTTCACCATCTATTGTTCTCATTATCCATTATAGGATTAATATTTTATAATGTAAAATTGTAAGTCTCCGTGCAACATTTGTTTCATTTACAGTTATTATATGTTTTTTCGTTTCCGAAAATGGCCAACACACATACAAACACACACAACACACGCACACACACATACATACACTCAATCACACCCTCACACACACACACACACACACATATATATATATATATAGATATATATATATATATATATAATATATATAATAAATTTTAGGTTATCCCAATGTCGACAAAATTAGGATGGATAGAATGGATGAACGACACAAACACACTGAAAAACTTTATCACGTCATCCATGACTCAAGATGAATTGAACGCCTACAGATCAGAGTGAAGCCTCGTTTTATTTATTTCATTTAATTTTATTCTATTTTTATTTCTAATACTCGTGCAATTATATTTTTATATTCCCTTGCCAATCGGTAATAAAAAAAAACGCATTTAATCTATGTTACTTCATTTAAATTTCCACTTGAATACCTAGTTAATTTGACGTTGACGCGTGACATTTTTATTATTATTTTGTAAAGTTTTATAATTTAACTTAGATTGTTAATATGCATACGCTGGCCACTCACTATGTGATGCTACTCATGTTTCCGATTTTAACAATGTTCTTGAATTTATAAATAGTTTCGAAATAAACTCATCAGAAGTCATCAGAATTTTATGCGAGTTTACAATTTTTAATGAAACAGATTGCTTGGTCCTGCTGCTATATACAAGAAATTTATTGGTTGGTGTTATTTTGAATTTATTATAAAACTTCTAATGCCTGTTAGTTAATGTTGGTTTATTTTGAAATGATCTATTATATCATTCAAATTGTTTGAAATCGAAAAAAATTTCCATTTTACATTTTAAAATTCAGGAAAGGACTACTTCGACAGCTACAAAAATATTGAAAGGAAGAAATGCATTGAAAACTTGAGAAGCATTGAAAACAAAGTGCCACACAACATCATTGGGTTAATAGATTTTTGTTACTTTTACATTTGTTATTTTATAAAATTTGGTGATCCTCTCAAAACCTCTAACAACACTACGTTCACAAAATAAACCAGCCGGGCCTACAGAAAACTCAGTTCTTCTTTGGAGTCATATTTTTTCCTAAGACGGAATTTTGTGAGATCGCATGCCCAGCTTTCCATCTGCCATTACATTCTTGGCATAGGTGACAGGCATCTTTCTAATTTCATGGTGAACATGCTCGATGGATCACTGGTCGGCATTGACTTTGGATATGCCTTTGGAATTGCTACTCAAGTTGTTTTTTTTCTGTTACTGATCTTTCAAAATTAAACACAGATGTATCAATATATTTAAAACTGTTATAATCTATTTAAAATATTTTTAAGATTATAATTCACAAACGTTTTTTTTAAACCATCAGCCAATAAATGCATACAATGATGTTTAAGTGATGTTTTGGTTAACTTTTTCAAAACATTTCAGTTTTTAGCTGTGCCTGAACTTGTTCCATTCCGTCTAACAAACCAAATGAAAGTATTCATGGAACCGTTCCAGGAGAATGGTTCCTTCAGAGCTGTTATGGTGAAGACCTTAAGGTGCCTTAGAAATAATTCAAGGCTGCTGTTGAGCACCATGGGCGTTTTTATTTTGGAGCCCTCATTAGATTGGAAAGTATGGCTCTCTATTTAACATAGAAAATTAATGTTAAACGTTTCTCAACATTCAAAATTTTTATTTTTTTTAGTATTACGCTATGAGGCAGTCAGAAAAAATGGGAAATAATACTGGTAGGGTTAACGCTTAGTAAATTTAAATATCTTAATTAATTTTATTTTTAATATAACTAATTTTAAAATTATTTCATTATTTTTAGATGAAAATAAATTGTGTGTTACCTGGTACCCGAAAGAGAAAATAGCATCTGCTAGAAGAAAATTAAATGGAGATAACTGTTCTTACATCATAAAGTAATTATTATCCAGTCCAAGTCTTTTAAAAATTAAAATTAACTCTAATTTATAACTGACCATGATTAAGGAAACCATGCTAGAAGTACCCGAAAGATAGTAACAGTAAATGACAGAACGACATGATCAAGATTGGTAGATCTAGAAAATACTATAGAAGGATTTCATTGATTTGCAGATAGTTTCACTCTATTTAAGAGCTGTATGTTTAATAGTAGCAATGCCTGGACATTTCCAGAAAATTAAGGAGACTATAATGCAGATGCTCAAAAAAATATGGTATAGTAAATGGATAAATTTGGCAACCAAATTAAAAAAGGATGCGATTCAAGTGCGTAAAGATAATTTGTAAAAAAAAAGATTTATCTAGTTTGGACTTTTGAGAAAGAAAGTTGAAATGGATTGGGAAAAAAAACTCGCTGCATCTTGGTCGGGAGCTAAAAATTAGAATCGGGCCAGCTGTAATACGTTTGGCTCAGGTGCTAGAAATAAAAATAAGAAAAGAGTAAGAAAAAGAGAGGCAGTCTATAGAAAACCGCCTTTGTTGTTTTTCGGATAGATTTAATATGCAAATGACTTTAAATACATTTCTTATTTTCATTAAAATTTCTAGTGTTAGGTTTGCAAAACATTACCAAATTGACGCTGATTTGTATTTGTTTCAAATGTTTTTCTCATTTTTTTTAACATTTTAAACCGTTGTAAATTCCAAGACAAGATTTTCAAGCTGGTCACAAAAACAATAAGAATTTTGGGGAAGCTGAAAAGATTTTACTGGGCATATCATCTGATTTGCATGAAGTTAGATTCACGATGAAAGAAAGTGATTTAACATTTGAAGAACAAGCTGAATGCCTTTTGAATCTCGCAACAGATCCAAATGTTTTAGGACGTGCCTGGGTTGGTTGGGAGCCGTGGATGTGATTGTGATTAACTATCATTTGTATTTTCTATATACTTTATATATATATATATATATATATATATATATATATATAGTATATAATATAATCAGAACTGCAACAACTTATCTATGTATGATTATCACCTTAACGTTTCACGAACTCTGAGAAATAACAGAAAAAAAATTGTCTACATGTTTTCGTATGTGAATACCGTGCACGACTGTGTCATTCTAATACCAGAAATTTTTGGAATACAAGAAAAAATTCTTCGTAAAGTTCAAAACATGGCCGAATAAAATATTTTTCATTACCTTTTTTCTCTATCTAGCATAAATGTATCTCTTCATGACACATCTTTTTCTTCCCTTTATTATTCATTGGAATAATTTGATGTATATTCATCTTTATGCTTGAATACCACCAATAAATATAATACCGAATAAATTCTAAAATATACACATTCTAATTGATTTCCTGTGTAGGTTATCATAGATCTTTTAACGTTTGGCGACAAAGCCTAAGCAGCCTGACCTTGAACCGTATTGTCGCTCTCATTCTTCTAATTCCTTTCTGGTTCTTTTTTGAAATTACGTCAGTTATTTATGATGTTCACAGCAAATCTCAATGCCCACCAGCAAAATTAATTGAAGTGAGCACTGTTGAATATCATGGGTATTTGACGGCTTGTATTTGTCTACCAGTTTTCGCTTAAACAATTTCAAGCAAGTCAGACTGGTCAATCCAGCGGTACTGTGCTGAATGCCATCTTCAGTTGTTTTAATGAAGTTAGCTAAAAACTCTAGCCAGGTGCCACCTATTGCACGAATCATTCCCATTTAAGAACTGTTAATGCACAGCGCTTCGAACGAGTTTATTTCAAAAAGCTTTGCGGCATAACCTAATGCAGATAGATGCAATAATTTTCGTGTAAAATATTAACAGTCCAAAAATTTGTCTACCTGATATTCGACCAAATCTAACGAAATGAAATAATTATGTACCTATAGACTATTCCAACAATTCCAAACGTTTTTATTTTGAAATAATTACTCAAAAATTATTTTATAAGATGGGAAATGTTAAATTATTTAGTGTTGTCTTCATTGATTTGTTGCCAACTGCATGACCGCAGCCACACCTGTCAATTGATTTAAGTAGGTTGTTTATTTGTGAACATTCTGTTTATCATTTGAAATCATTACAGCATATTCTATCACTATAACATGAAAAATACCTTGAACATTCAGTTTTATAGAGAATCATAGTTTTGCAAACAGGGCTTGAAAATTGTGAGATTTTCAAGATACTCAAACTCGGTGTCATTTATAATTTTTTATGGCTAAAAACCAAAGATACAATAATAAGTATAATATATCTATGCTGACAAGTAACGTTGAACTTGAAACCTTGTTATTCAAGACAAATAATAAATTGCATCTCATTAATATGTAACAGTTCAAAATTAACTTAACGTAATTTTACAAATTTTGAACTGTTTTATCAGGCTTGATTGCGTGGACAAATATTTTAGAACTTAGTTGAAAAAAGCATAGATGGAATAGAACTTATGCCAATGTTCATTTAATATTTTAGCAAAAAATCAAACTTTCAATAGATTGCCTACAAATTTAAATCCAAACCTTCAAAAGTGATTTTTTCCGAGATATTTTTAGTTTTTATATTGACTTCCTGATTAGCAATAAAAACATAACCATCCCCTTTATCTTTCCACTTATTTGTTGCTATCCACTGATTGACTTGCGACTCTGGAAAAAAAAATTCCAATTAATCCAGAATAAAGATATGCAATTGATTTATGGGTGTTATGGGAAGATTTATTATTTTATTTACTGATTCATTCATCATCACTCCCTCTTGAAAATTGAATGAGTCTTAATATAATAATGAAATTTAAATTTAGACAATACCTGTTAGACCACCAAGAAGTATCTTCAATTCACTCTTTTTTATGACTTGAAATGTGATACCGATAACATGGCAAACAACTAAAAGTGATTATTTTTTATTATTCTTTGAAAAATCAGAATTTGACAGACACAGAAACTGTTACAGCATGCAAGGCAATAGTATGAAATGGTAACAAAAAATAACAGACAAAAAATGTTTGAACATGAAAAAAATTAAAAATAAAATAAAGTAATGGTATAAAAAGGCAAATAAATAAATTTATTAATGCAATTTTGACATATTTGAAATATTTTGACAATATTTTCCAGTTAATTTTAAACTAGAAGCAAAATAATTACAAAAAAAAAGAATTACATTTTCGGATTGAATCCTCAAATCCTTTGATGTTCAGAAGTCTATCAGAAATTGCATCCAAGCTATTCTAAAAGTTGAAAATGAAAACAGATGTCCATTTAAAATAAGATCACATAAAAAATACAACTGGTGATAAATTCATACCCAAAAAAGATCAAATTGGCAGGTTTCCAAGAGTTCTGACAGTGCCAATATTTTTGCAAAAGGCTCTTCAATCAGTTGGGCCAACTAGTACAAAATTATTGACATGTTTAAAAAGTAATCAGTTGGACATGACCTCATTGTCATGTCTTTCTTTATAAATATAAAAAAGCCAAAAAAAGTTTTTTAGTTATGAAAATACCTTTCCAAGATCAAGAATGCATTTACAAAGTGTAAAATCGGAATGAGGCAAATTTGTTAATGCCTTTAAGAACACTAAAACAGCTATATTTTCATTAAATAGACTTGGCCTGAACTGATACCTGGAAAAGCGAATAAGATTCAATAGGTAAATGATCAAATTTATCAGCATAAATTTTTTTTATTGAATTAAACTGTTTTTTGATGCATGTGAGTTTAACTAATAGGCATTCTTTTCCAAGTCAATGGAAATGGCCAACCAGAAAAGATTTTTGGAAAGGAGCAAGGAAAGGGGACACGATCAGCTGCATTAGCCTATTAAGAAACTTTTGTGAGATTCAATAATCTGCATCAATTCTAGCAACTATGTTTGTTTTTATGCAAAGTCCTTTAAACCTATTCACAATTTCAGATTTTCACAATTGCCTACAACTATTCATGTTAGACCAAGACCAAGTAACCTTTTTATTATACCATCTTTAGGTATAAACTTATGTTTTGGTTTTTTTAATTGCAGCACATAAAGCAAGCTCTGCATTGTGTGATGTATTTCATTTATTTATATTATAAATTTCAAGAGAAATAATTAAGTTTAAAAACAGTAAATGAGAATTTCAGCCAAAAATAAACAAACGTTTTTAAAACGGCTAAATAGGCTTCCAGATCATATAAATTCTCTGAAGCAGTAAGAACAACATATTTTTCTAATATGGGAAGATTTTCTGGATTGTATCTGAAATTTAAATATAAAACATAAATGCAGTGCTAATATTATCATAATTTTAAAAAATATTTTAATATTATCATAATGAATTATAAAAAAGATTGAAAAAAATATAAACACCTTATTGAAAATAACATTTCCATCAGGCGTTTGTTTTTAAAATTAAAACAAATTCAAATTAGTTGGAATTTTTAGTGTCTTTGTCTAGTCTTTTTAGTACACTAAAATATTATCTGCATGAGATCCGCATGAGTGTGCAGCCATTTGTTTGTATTTTATTAGGAAACAACAAGTACTTATTTCACAGAAACCAGGGTTAAAATAAATTTCACGATATTAGTAAATTAGGATATCATGTGTCCTAAAACTGGAAATTTTTATTTTGTTTTTTATAAGATTGCTTCACTTACACAAAAAACAAGTGAACAACGTGCCTTTATTTTCTATTAAACTTTTTAAGCAAACAGACAGAAGAATTTTTCGAATACCTAAAATTATTTTACAAGTAAAAAAGAAGCGAAACAGGGCAAACCTGTCAAGTCCCTTCACGATGTGGGCTACCTTTTCTCGAAGCTCCGCGGCCATCACGAACTGTATCAAGCCAAGATTCGTACGTGCGTTTCGAATGAAAATAGAAATTTGTTACGAATGTTGGAGTATGGATAAACAAAACGATTCTATATGAAAATTGTTAAACATACAAGTGGCACATTTTTGTACTTGTGCGGTAGAATAAATGTGAAAAATATGTATTTTATTATTATTCTTTAGAAAACCAAAATCTGAAAAACACAGAAACTGTTACAGCATGCAAGGCAATAGTATAAAATTGTAGCGAAAAATAAATAAATTACTGGGAAAAAATGTTTAATAAGCATGAAAAGTATGGAAAATCAAATAAAGTAAAAGTTTCGTAACGTCAAAGATTTCTCCTTTTTCAACCTTTTAAGTATATGTTAGTAAAATACAATTTTTTTAATTTTTAAATAAATAGCATATGCATTCATATGCATTAACGATTAACTTAACAATCCATTAACTGCTTGGATATGTCAAAAGTTTCACTTTACACCTACTTACGTTTTATTGCTATTCAAAGCTAGCTAGGCTCACCAACGCACTTGTATTGTGAATTATAAATTATACGTCTACATGAAATAATTATATATATATATAATATGTAATAATAATATTCATATATATAAATAATATAGTATATACAGTCAAATAGTATAGTATGTACAAGGTGTTTATGCATCATCTCAAAAGACAAAACTCATTAATGATAAATAATGTTAATGATTAACACTTAACAGTTAATATTAATTTAATGTTAATCCATTGTCAAGTCGAGATCACTAGATAGGCGAGATCAAGAATCTCGGAGAATTACTCTCAACGACCTCAAAACTAAACAAATCAATATATCTATCATTCAAGTCAAGAAAGGTAAGGTTCCATGTAGTTACATTAATTATTACTATTACTTAAATTTTGTTTTTGATGATGAATAGAGTATAATTTATAATAATGTTTTATTATTTATATTTTGTTTTTGATATAATTGTAAATTATAAATGTTAGGTTCATTTAAACTTTTAAATTAAATTTAGAGAGATTAGAGGTAGTGGTAGTAGTAGTAGTAGTGCTAGTAGTTGTAGTAAGTTAAGTAGGATCTAGATTTTACATTTGAATTTTAGTAATCAATTTTAGTTAAATCCTAGGATGGATGGGCAAGTTTTTTTTGGAATGTGTCATATGTCATTTATCATTGATCCTATTTGTTCACATATTTATTTTAACTTGTAATTTTGATTTTTTTAAATAGAAAAAAGGTGAACCTGATTTAATTGTTAACATTTGTTGATTGGTGAAGCTAGAGGCATTGGTGGTATTTATTTTCTAATTAAATGTTTGAGGCAGAATATCAGGTTTTTTCCCATTTCAAAAAATAAATAATAATAAAATAATAATATATAATACTTATATAAATAAAATAAATAAAATCATTTAGTTATTTTTTACTGTACTATATAGCCAAAATTCAGCTTTTTTTTCAAATCTGGTCGAATCCGGCCCCGGCCGGATTTGGTGGCCGGATTTAGGGCCAGATTTAAGCGTCTATCAACTTTTAAAAATGTTAGAAATAGAAAAAAATATTTTATTGAATTCAATTAATTTTATGTCAATAAGTTAATGGCTAAAGCTAAGCTAAAGGCATACATGACACATAATAACAACATCACTAATTGTGAGGTGATCTGGACAATTTTCTTTATGCTATAACATGGATTATGTATAAATTATAAGCTGATCTTTGTGTAAAAGAGTTTGTGTACATGTATATACTATATATTGATAATAGCACATGGCCGATCATATAGTTACATAATATATATATATATATATATATATATATATATATATATATATATATATATATATATATATATAAAGATATATATATATATATATACATATTTAGAGAGAGAGAGAGAGAGAGAGATACATAAGCACATAATTTAAGAACATGGTATGTTAAAGGTTAGGCTAGGTATACATGACACATAATTACAACATCACTAATTGTGGGGTGAGCTGGACAATTTTCTTTGTGCTTTAACTTGGGTTATGCAAATATGCATAAATTATAAGCTGATCTTTGTGTACAGAATTTGGCGTATCACACAACTTATTCATATATTTGAATTAAATAACTATTTGCTTGGTGTTATTTTTTGATGTTCAACATGTAGATAACCGTAAATGTGAGTATTTTTTCTAATGTATGTAAAATGGTAACTAAAATCCGGCCCCGGCCCCGGCCGGTTTTTGAATTTCAAATCCGGCCAAGTCCGGCCCCGGCCGGATTTGAAAAACCTGAATCCGGTGCATCCCTATTAGATAGTAATTATGTATGAGAATACCTTAATTGATATTTTTATCAAATATGAAAAGAACTCATGCTGTTATAAAATATATTCTTATATTTAATTGTTCAAAACCAAAAAAAAATGTAATTGCAAATATTGACGTTATTTTTCAAAATTTACAGACCAACAATGAATAACTGTTATAGTTTTTCCTGTTACTGCTGCTTTATTGTTATCTTTTGCGCCCTGTGTTTGTCGTACGAGGTTAAAGAGGATGGGACACTAATCTATCCGCATCTGGAAGATAAACAAATGTTATGTGGACGAGATAGCTGGAAAACTATTTCTGTTTGTGATCCTGATAAAATACTTGGCTTGAAAGATGTTGAAGGTAAGATTAAATTTTCAAATTAACTCTAGACTGTAAATCTTCTATATATCATAATTCTGGCCTTACCATTTACCTTTCTGTTTAGTCTTAATTACTTAATCTTAGACTCTAAGGTGAGGATTTTAAAAATAATGCAATTGCAAAGTATACGGTACATTGGTTTAACATTTTTTCAAAGAAAATATTAATTACTTTTATACAGTGGTAGAAAATATTAATTTACCTTTTCAAATTTAGATTAATCTGAGTTTTTTTTGCTGATTATCTTCAGCTAGCCAACTGGATGAAATCATAAAGAAAATAAAGCATGAGACAAAATGTCCTTGTAGCAATTACATATGCACAAAAGACCCTGGTGGTTACAAAGTTGGTGTTGCCATTGTTAAGAAATTATCAGATGATGATTTGGCCAGCAGTTTGGACGATGAAGATCATTATGAACAGAAGTCTGATTCTTTCATTGATTAATAAATTATTCACTTATATTAAAAATCCAACTCTGATTTCAAATTCACCTGGTATTGAGAAATATGCTTATTATTAAAAGTAGTAATTTCTTTTCACAGGATAAAAAAATGCTTACCAAGCAGGGATGTATCAATCAACTTAATTGATTTAATTATCACTTATATTACACTTGCACTTGCAGTCATAATAAATAAAACTTTTTTTTATATTGAAATTTTGATCAATGCACATTATATTTCTATTTCTTTAATAACATATAACAATAACATGGTTAAATATATCAAAAAATATAGATATATTTGATTTGAAACATGAGTCTTCACTTTTTTTGGCAGTTCTAACAGGCGCAAGAAAAATGAGAAGAAGCTTGAGGAGGCAGGAAAGTTTGCTCACATGGTACGAAATCTTTGGAAGCTTGGCAGATGTGATGAGGACATCATCATCGTCTACTCACACGATGATAAAGTGGTAAGCCATCTCATATCATACTAAGTTAGCAGTTTAAAATAATTATAGTTTGTAAAAACCTGGCTTGCTTTCAAAATTAGATTTACACTGTGACTGGTGATATGGCCAGTAAAGTCTTGACTAACAAACTCATCACTGAGATAACTGGCAAAGTGGTACCTTATGGCTTCAATAAAGGAGCTTTCCATGGCCTCAATAGTATATTACATGATTACAGGTTTTTAATATATATTCAATTTTTATTTTAATTATGTACATTATTTTTATAGACAACTTCTTCAAATACAGTTGTAAATAATTTTTTTAAATTGACAAATATCTCCAAAAAATCAGATATTTATTAATTCACTTATTAATTGTTCAGCTGTTATGTTTTTATCCTAGATATTTTAGCACCTATCTTCTCTTTATTTCATTCCTGTGCTCTGTTAGTTTCGTTGAATTTCACAAGCTTAAACTCTGAAGTCTGAATAAAATGCTCTTAATTAATTTTAGCAGCCATACATGGCCTGTTCTTCTGATGACTTTTTTGGGGTCTTAGTTAAGCAGCTTTAACAAATGCAAAACTACTTATATTACTCCCATTTTATTAACAAAAGAACTGTGTGTGTGTGTGTATGTGTATGTGTGTGTGTGTGTGTGTGTGCGCGCTGAACAGCTAACGTAACTTTATATGACATATTCGTTTATTATTTGTGTACATATTTCGTTTATTATTTGTGTACATATTTGCTCATATGAACAAATTCTTAAATAAACAATATTTGTAAAGTTTAATGTTAACATTTTTTAAATTTTTACCAAAATTAAAAGATTTTGGCTGCTATTATACAGCTAATAAAATTGAACAAATGATGATTTAAATGGCTTCATAAGGTTTTTAAGTTTGAAGTTTTTTTATTTTTAGAGCTGTCTTGTTGAATGTGTATCGGCCAAGAAGACCTCAAGTCGGACCCATTTCATCTTCTTCGATAACAACTCGTATTTCCTCTCCTGATAGATACATGATCTTATTGTGTTTCATTCTTGTTGCAATTTACATCAACAATTTAGTCTGTTAAGAAACTTTCTTTTCATACTCAATTTTTCATTTTTTTGGTAAATTTTCTTTGAAACAATGGACGTTACCTGTTCGTTTTCATCACTTTATTTATTTGTTTTTGTATCATGATGTGTCTGAAATTTTGTCCTACCCATTATATGTGTATGTAAAGCATACCTGTTATAAAATGAACTGCACGATCAAAAATGGCCTGTGACATATTTTTACAATGATCTTCGTTTTTTTTTTTATTTCGCTGGCTGTTTGCCTCTCAAAGAAATTTAGAATATGATCTCTTTTATTTATTTAGATGCTTTTTAGCATATACAACTTAATGTTTTTTAGGTAGACAATGTAATATTTTATAAAATTTATTTCCTTAAAAGATTAGTTCTTTCTGATTAGATTGACCAATTCAAAATCACCCGTTATACCATTGCTCGCCTTGTTTTGGTTACATTGTTACATGCATTGTTAAATTATTATTATCATCTGCATTGTTGTATTATCACATGCTATTTAATTGTATGCAGTTTACAATCTGGGCATGAAGGATTCAAACAGTTAATTTAAATATACCCTAAAAGTTATCCTAGTTTGGATAGAGTTAGAATGACTCTCGCTTGTAAATATCCTTAATTAGCTTTATTAATATTAATAATATTATTAACATAGTTATTCACATGTGCTTTTGCATTTACGTTCATGTTGACGCTGTATAATAATCTCATAAATTAAATTTTGCATAATGTGCCTACAAACTAAAAAACTTTAATTTGTAGTTTTTATCTTATGAAAAACTTTTCGTGTTTTCTATTGTTTTAATAGAAAATAAGCACAATTATTTTTTTCTCGTCTTGCGTTTATTTGGATTTCAAAAAATTATTTTATAATTTAATTGTTGATGTATTCAAATTTGCACTTCTATCTTTTGTATTAAATTGTATATATATATATATATATATATATATATATATATATATATATACAAATATTATATATATATATATATAATATTTGATAATATCTAACGAATTTTTTAGCTTTTGAAAGTGTACTGTTGAGCTTTACAATAATTCTAACAGTGATTTTATGATTATTATCCAATTTACTAGAATAGAAAAGAAAATCCTTTGTGTTCCTTTGTGACCGTATAGGTCCTTTTATTTATTCAACAAAAGTATTTTTAGCTTGAAACCCACGAGAAAGATGCAAAATTCGTTTTTGACTATCTTGCTCGGGAGTTAAGCTACGTCTGTTAGTCGTAGATAATTATGTAAAGGTTGGAAGGAGACCATAATTGTTGCAGTATTGGATAAAATCTACCGAATTTTTAGTTTTTGAAAGTTTACGGTTGAGCTTTTCAATATTTCTAAGAGTAATTTTATAATTATTATTAAATTTAAGAAAAAAATCTTTGGTGTTCATGATGAAGCGTTCGGTCCTACAGCGATAATTATCAAATTGTCAAAACCATATATATATATATATGTATTATATATGTCCCGAACTTTATATATATATATATATATATATATATATATATAGATGCAACCTAAACGGACAGGACAAAGCAGAATAAAAGCACTTTGCACTCACAGAGAATTGTAAAACCTTGAAATATTCCTATACAGGCGCTGATGATGATTAAAATCGAAATACGACCTATACTCTTCACCATGAACACCAAACGATTTTCTTATTAATTTTAATAAATTGGATAATATATATCTATATGTATGTATACAATACGTCCTACCTCTGGACGCAAAACGAAGATTGATTGATCTATATGTATGTATACAATATCGTATGAATCCTAGCATGTTATTGACATTAACCGATTTAAAGTTTGTTTTTTCAATTTTTCTTACTAGAAATTTCTGGAAATTGTCTAATTTATTAGAATAAAAATAATATTATTATCCAAATTTATCATGCAAATTGGTCTATTTTGATTTGTCACAAATCATCTTCGGTCCAGCTTTGTTTTATCAAGCTTCTTAAACGAAAGGTAGTTTAATTAATTAGTGTCATATTATTCACTGATGATGGATTGTAATTGTGGAAGTTGATGTTTTGTAGAGAAGCCGGACCAGAAAAGGAAAGAGCTGCATACCTGACTTGTGAGATGATGAGTGTATCTGTGATGTCGAACAGTTTGATATCATTGAGTGAGACCGTGTGAGCGAACTGTATTATATTTTTAATTTATTCTTGCGAATGGTCGATGTACTGGAGGTAATGTTATTTTATTTTCTTATGATTATTACCATAAAAAAGAGCGTATATATATATATATATATATATATATATATATAGCTACGTTCCAAAGTACTCTACAGATGTGCATGCATATAAAATATAATTCACTATTTATTAGAAAGCCCTCTCTCCATGTGTGAGATGCATCACTAGTGCGATGTGAGGCGTACCTTTAAAACACCTTTATTACTTAGCCGTAAGTAAAGTAAACAAAAAAAAATCATCGATGTTTTTATCATAATTTATAATTCGTGTGACTATTAACTGAGTCAATGAGCTGTTTTGTGCTGTTATTCGAATAAAATGGCATTCGAATTTTCGAATAATTTCGTTCTAGAAAGTGGTAGTCGTGATAGTGGTATCAGTTCGTTCAGTAGCGATTGCAACGATTCAAACAATTCGCTAAATTTCAAATTTGAACAAGAAGAACTTCACCTCATAAATACGAATATCAGCGAAAATAAATACTATCTCAACTTGAATAAAGAAAATACTTTCAAGGTTAAATATTTGGGTGAACGACAGCTGAGTAGAAGGCACACCCCTTACATGATACCTTGGGTTGTTGATGAAATTAGAACTTGTGGCAAAGAATATGACTGTAATGTATCTGTAACAAAAGCATCAATAAATTCTGAACTGATAGTATTGAAAATTGATCTTGATGAAACGATTTCAAATACACATTTATCACCAAACAAATACAAACATTTAAATTTAGAGCACAATTTAAACAATTTGACAAGATTTTCAAAATCTGCATCAAATCACAGCCACTTTTCCTATTTATATAGAGATTCGCCTGAATCTCCTTTTACATGTTTTCTATTCAATGCTGTTGAAGAAAAAATTGTTAGTAATTTTTATTTTCCAATATTTAACTTTTGGCTAGATTTCCTAATGCCAATTCATTCTAAATATAACTCAAACTCTAATTACATAAACAATAAAATTTAAATGAAATGTTTAAGATTAAGTCTTTAAACTTTGTTTTTGTATCGAGTTTATGTTTTGTAGTTTTCCTTTTAAATTTGCAGGTAAATGACATATTTTATGCGATTCACAATGCAATGCTTTCTTCATCTTTAACAATGTTCCATGAACCATCTTCTCCTCCAGCCAGTATTTGTCAAAATGAAGAGAATCTTCACAAGGTTGAAGTCATATATTTAGGGAAGATTGTTGTTGCAACCAAGAAGGCAAGCCCATCTTTCATTGATGAGGCTGTGAAAAAATTTCATGAATTAGGTAAGTGGGATAAATTTAGCAAAGACCTTACCAGTTGCAATATAAATACCAGCAAGTTCAATTTCAAACCTGTTGGTCCTGATACTGGCAGCATAATGAAGGAAATTGGACAAAGGGTTTATGACAGGAAAAGTAAAATGACCTGCATTTTGGAAAGTCAAGTATGATTTTTTATTGACTGTAATAATTTTTTAATATTTATCAAGTTTTTTTATTTGTTATTAGGATGAAGATAATACTGAAAAGACCGCTAAAACAAAATCAGTGTGTATAGAAGATGTTAGAACAGTAGTTAAATTACGGCATTTTAATTAAATAATATAGTAAAATTTATCATTTTTCTTTTAAACTATTTAATTATTTTACCTTAATCTTTTGCTTAGATAACTTATTGACATTCAAATATATATTTATTTATTTATGAATATTCAAGTCTACATTAGACTCAGAAACACAGAATTGTGATCCAGACATAATGAAATCAGACATCCAAAATGACAAACAAATTTCAAATGGAGATGATGAAATAAAAAACACATTTAACAACTCAAATAATGTTGGTATCTGCAAGGTTTTTTGTTATTAGGAAATATGACAACATTTCAATGTTTGTCAAATTATGCAGGAAAAAAATCATGAACATCAAGAATCTCAGCAACAATACATCAACAAAAGCCAGCAAGAAAAGTCGAAGCAGTGTTATTTAGTTGTAAGCAGAGATTACCTAACGCTTCAGTCC